GGAGAACTCCAGAACGAGTGCAAATATTCTAGCCGAGATTCTACGATAAATGCAACTTGACATGGCAGGGCCAAACCATGATAATTGATGTTTTGTAATCTGCCTGATATGCAAATGTACCACTAAAAGTAAGGTATTCAAGGAGGCCCAGGTCGAAATGCGTCACAGGCACCGTAGCAACGACGTATAGTATGCATTTCGATGTAAGTAATTGTTGTCTCAGAAACCCTACGGATTTCCTCAAGGGTTCAGTCTCTAGCATGAAGACCGATCCCCTGTTGTCCTTAAGAACCTTGTCAAATATATCGCCCGCAAGTCTCACATTCCTGAAGGGGACAAAATTTAAATAATTCAATCGTATGAAACAAAATCCCAAATCTGACAATTTCAGTTGAATGCTATCAACGTAAGGAAACAAAACAAGTAAAATTCCCATCTTCGAAAACATGGTAAAAAACATGGTAGAAAACTGTTTATTTTCGTATTCAACGCTTCTTCGACAAAAATTGTTGTTCAACTCTATGTACGAGACATTGAATGATGTGTTCTATAAAAGATCCATCATATAACCTTTTTTACCTTCAACATTTTCTGAACCTAGCTCCCTTTACATACGTATATAATCAAATTATGTAAATAACCCTGTTGAAGAAAAAGGCGTGCCTTCGTGTCGGAATGCTTTTCGTGCTCTAACAATTTTGGGGTTACATAATTTTATCGTGACATTTGACCACTACGATGTAATGTCGAACAATATGTAATACGTTGCACAACAATAGAGCATCGTAACATCATAAAATACATATTATGTATTTTTATGTATAGATGTAGAAGTCGGCTAAATACATAGATGTTCATATCAACATAGCAAATGATTGCATCAACTAAATACATAAATATTTAGACAATATTGCCTTCATATTTATAGTTTGCACGTCATCATTGTCATCGCACCACTGACGTGTCATCAGATTCAAATTAAATAGATAAGTAGGTATATTTGGTTAAGCAAATATAAATTTTTAAGTTCAGGTTTAGAAATTCGGATTTCCGATTGCACATTTGGGACACGTTTTCCAAAAATTGGTTTTAAGTTTGAACGATAGATCTGCGCAGCTTCTTCAATATTCGGATTTGTAACAGATCTAAATATCTTCACATTTGGGTGCATATGTAAGTAGCATAGTAGATTATTGGAAAAGAGTGACATGCGGTTTTGTAATAATACTTACAAGGGACACTCATGACCTGTCGTTTAAGTCCAGGGTACCCACTATGTTTTTTAGAATCTACTAGGACCCCAGATGAAGGATTCATTCATATTTCCGTGTAAAACTCATATTTGGCGCCATGGCGTGGCGCCAAACTTCAAAATTTGCATTTTCGACCAGTTTCAAACCCCCATAACTTTTGCAGTTTATATCGGATTTTCAAAATTTTATACTTAAAATGATCACAAAAGTCGAAATTTTTGAGAAAAAAATAAAAATAAAAAATTTCTAATTTTTGAAATATTTTTAGCATTTTTTCGACGAACCCCCGTTTATAAGAAAATTACGAAATTTTGCGAAAAGTTAAAAGTGATAATTTTGGAAAAAATTTCATTGGATACGAAAGTTGAACTCCTTGTCATGATTTTTGCCAAAAATTTTAAAAATCCGTACAGGTTTTCAAAAGTTATGGCGGTTTCAAAAATAAAAACATGCAAATTTGGCGAATTTGGCGCCACGCCATGGCGCCAAATATGAGTTTTACACGGAAATATGAATGAATCCTTCATCTGGGGTCCTAGTAGATTCTGAAAAACATAGTGGGTACCCTGGACTCAAACGACAGGTCGTGAGTGTCCCTTGTTAGGTACGTTGCGTATTACCTACAGATTTTGGAATAATTACATAGTGAGCCATTATAAAATTCGAACTTATTCATCTTTATTAATTACTCGTCTTCTCAGGTTTAAATTCATGCTCGTTTATTAGCTAAATCTACCCGATAATCGTATATATGTTCATTCGTCGGCAATTGCTAAAATTTCTTTGTTAAATAACATCTTCATCAATCTAAAACTAACCTAAACTTCTGCCATCATCGCTACCAATAAAACTTGTACTTATGAGTAGTCATTCTTACGACCGGATTGTAACGTACACATTAATCTGTCATATGTACATACGAATGGATGGAAGGTATGAATTTTATGGAAGACGCTTAATGAAACCGTGAATCACGTACCGGATATGGTTTTGGTTATGATTGCGGTTACCTTTTCGGTTACAATTTAAGTTACACCCTATGATACAACTTAAGGTACAACTTCGGGTACGATAACGAAAAAGTTAAAACATAAACAACATCCTCAGTAACATCCCAAAAATCCTTATCAGCGTTAAAAAATTCCTTAGCAACGTTAAAAAATCCTTACAAACTCTAAAAAATTCTTTACAAATGCTAAGAATTCCTTAGTACCGTTACAAAAATTCCTTAGCAACGTTAAAAAATTCCTTGACAACGTTGTCCGTACTGTATTCCTATGAACATAGAATTCCTCTAGAAAAAACGATCCTAATGTTATAAATATACACACACCGAAAATAATAAATAAACTAAACAAATTATTAATACGGATCAGATCATCCCATCTGAGACTTTCTGAAAGATCAGCAAATACCTTCCGTTCACGCCACAACCTCCTAGTCCCCTGTTTGATCTTATGAATTGCGACGTTATCGAAATTGCTGTTCCAAATTTCAAGAAATACAAATTCACGAATAGCCTCGAGTAATGACAAAACCTCAACCCGTACATTTACATATGCCAACTCATAACTGTGCGTATTCAAAAATACTTCTGGCGCAAATCTACATTTAATGTGGGCCGCAGCATTATCTCTTTCTTGTTCAACGAGGGCACGTTTTTTGTAAATCGGTAGTACAGCTAAATCCACCATGATTTTCAAAGTGCTATTGGTTAAGAGTGCGACTGGGTGATTTCGGTTTCGAATCTCATGGAAATATTTCGCATTTCTAATCCATCCTGCGATTCCCAGTTTTTCAAAATCATGGTTGAACCGGTTTAAGTAATCGTCTTGCGATATGTCTACTGAACGATTTGATGAAAGCCTACAAAATGGAATTTTGTAACCTGTTCTCAACAGTGATACGAAACTTGGATTTCTCTCTACCTTTGACGGCACCACTACCATGCTTGTAAAATATGTTTCATACACCGATACAATAACAATCATACCGATGTGCATGACCCACTTAAGTTTTGTCTCTCCTCCACACGTCTGCCTAAAATAGATTGCAATCACAGTGAAAAAAAATTTGAATTGCGCAGGCCTTAAAAGAGACGTTGCGGACTCTTTAACTCCGTTTTCAGTTGCACCTATTACAATCGGCGAAACCATCATCAGGAACAAAAGGGTTATCCATACACCCGATTTAAATGGAGTCACCCACGCCCAGAATCTTAAACTTTCAGTGTTTGCATGATCCCTAAATTCGCAATATTTGAATTGTGCCGTTATTGCAAATCTCAACCTTAAGCTCGCAAAGAGATTATCCTTTTGTCCCATATGTATGATAGCTAAAGTTAAACCTTCACAAGTGATATTCAACCACTTCGGATACTTTTCAAAAGAAATATTTAACCTCGATGCTAATAAATCAGGAATGGTTTGATAATAAGGGCACGGACTTCTTGGTGTTACCCATGGCGACGCTTCGCATCCGATAATTTGTGAAGTACTTGAACTAGGGGAAGTGAGAATCTGAAACCGAACCTTTTTGGGGTCAAGTCTTCCAGTGAGAGAGAGATGCTTTAGTTTCACAAATTCAGACATTTCTCCCACTTCCTGAAGCCTTATCCACATTCGACCAGCGCAGAAATTACAATAAAATATCCACTGGATGTTTTCAACGTGAAGAATTATATTACCGTAGGAGAGTTCCAGCTCAAATATTCTAGCAGAGATTATTCGATATTTGCAATTTGCTAAGGCAGGAAATGTACCTGTTTTTGGCCAAAGCAGGATAATCGATGTCTTGTAATCTGCCTGAAATGCAAATGAACTCATAAAAATAAAGTATTCCAAGGGGATTAGCTCCACGTATTTCACAGGGACCGTTGTAACGACGTAGAGTACACATTCCGCTGTAAATAACTGTGTCAATAGAAACTCCCTGGGTTTAATAACGAATGTAGTTTCTATCATGAAAACTGATCCCCTATTATCCGTAAGGATCTCGTCAAATATATCGCCAGCAATTGACACCTTATTAAAAGGGAGAATGTCTAGATAATTCAAACGTATGAAACAAACTCCAAAATCTGATAATTTAAGTCTATTACTATCAATGAATGGAAACAAAACTACAAAAATTCCCAGACCTAAAAGCTTCATGGCAAATAAGTGACCTTATTTAGTCACATAAACGGATTTAACGCTGCTTTAGAATCGAGCTGTTCCAATCTACGTTGCATTTAATGATTTGTTCCATAAAAGTTCGATCATGTAAGCTTCTTTTTGACCTTCCATCTTGTTACCTACATACATACTTGGCACCATTTGCATAATACAATATGTTATGATACTTATCTGCTTATATAATATATGTACTTAAATAGCCCTGTTCCAGAAAATTATTTTATTCTAAATTTATCCTAGTTTAGTTTTAGTTTAGACATTTTAAAATAATTCCGACACTCAAGACACGGCATCTTGCGTGTCAGAATTATTTTCATGTGCTAACATACGTGCATGTTATCGTGACATTTGACCAATAGGTAAGATCGAAATAGAGTATACAGTGTATTGTATAACAATACATAAATGGTCGTGATACCATAAATTTCAGATATGCAGATCTGTAATGTATCATCCAAATACATATATACATGATTGTTTCAAATACGTGCATATATACTTAAATGTTTGGCAAATACATGGGTTACATATGTAGCTTTCTTGCAACGTTTTGTAAGCACACATAACTATATAATATGTACATATGCATAGCTTATTTATTTAATAAGGATATACTAATTAAGTTAGTAAATACAAAGATTAAAGTGTGCATGTACAAGGTTTTGTTCATTGATTTACGTACATAAATAGCACGCTGAATTTTTTTCCCGTGGTATCATTTAAAGTGTAAACTTTACTACAAATTTAATTAACATAAATTGGCAATGAATCATACAGTTGATCCCCTGCAACACATTACTCTTTGCGTTTTCTACAATGATTCTGGTGGGACGCCATAAGTGACACACTCGTATACTGTTTGTTACAATATTCACACCAAAACAATTCCAAATTTGTTCCATCTCCGAGTTCTCCATGAATCTCTTCATCCCCATCCTCAGGAGACAGATCACCACTGTCCACCACAGTAATAGAGCCTGACGAACTGGTTGCTTCATCTTCGGCACTGGAAACTGTAAACTCGTCCCCTTCTGAGTCTGAAACTATAAAATTAATTTAAATATTTATTAAGAATTGTGATGTGTGGAAAGTATTAATAATTTCTATACAAACTATTCGATTAGTTGAATGGGATGAAATCAAAGAAATCAAAGTTACAGAAGTTTTTTTTATCAAAATGTCAACTTCACGTTCTCAAAATTTCCAGAATTTATGAATCTCAGTATTTACAGAATACAATGTTTACCAGGTTGGACTTCATTTTGTGACTTTACAAATATGTTTATCAGAATATGTATCCTGTAGATTTTTGCACCCTTATTGCTTATTTTTGTTATGTAAATTTTGCAAACTTACTTTACAAAACGAATATATTTTAAAAGGTAAGAAACGGGTGTGCGAATTGCCTGGTTAAAATTGTGTGGATTAAAGCTATACTCACACTCCATTTCCATTAATTTTTCCTGGTCAACTTTCACCACTGGAGTTCTTGTTTCTTCCTCTTCTTCGTAGGTTTCGGTATCTGAATCCGGCTGCTTAATCAGTCTACCTGACTTCGAACGAATTTCTAAACGTTTTCTCTTCTTAATCTTTGGTCGGTTGGTGGCTAGTCTCTTAGGATTGGTTCTTCTCACAGTAGTAGTGTCTGATGGGTTGCTACCTATCGATTAGTATGTAGCTGTGTCATAAATTTATCATCACAAACTTCATTCATTTACTACATACTTTTAGCTTCCAGTGTCTTAGAACTGGAGGGTTCATCCTGGTTTAAATTGTCCTGGACCTTCGGTTTCTCTTCACCTTAACAAAAATACTAATCAGCGAGTGAAGTCCTTTAAGCACAGAATTACCCTATTTGAAATCTAGTAGTAAGACAAGCGATTTGACTATTTTATTCAACTGAAGAAGTTATAAAATTTATGAACTCTTCACATTTAGAAAATTAAATTAATGATATTTAGCAAAAATTTTGAACCTATTTTTACAACTGCGACTCGAACCAAGTCCGCCGATATGTCGAATACGTTTGAGTTTTTCTTATTCATGACTTCTTCCTCATTAAAAGTATCTTTGATTCGTGTCAATACCTTGAAAAAATGTGAAACGTATTATTAATATTTGTCCATGTTACATATGAGAAACATGTATGATACATAGCGTATTTACAAGTTTCTGAAATCCATCAAATTGTTCTTGCAGCCGCCCAATTTTTAGGAAAATTTGTCTCGCTTCTTCTACAAAATTTCTGCAATCATTGCAAAATGACAGCCAAGTAGAAGGATAGCCCTTACTGAAAAAAATAAGAAAATATTTAGGATTTAACAGATATACAAATTTGTATTTACCAACGTAATTAAAACTTTTGTGGGACACCCTTAAAAATAATGCTATCTTTTCTACCTACATACTTTAAAATGTATCCTACATTCAGGAATATTCTGATAAGTAAACTATTAAACTAAACTATATTAAATCCAGTCATGTTCACTGGATAAAGAGTTAAGTTTTCTCTGGATTTATGTTCAATAAGTATAGTTTATAACATGCAATTAAGTAATTTAATATAAAATCAGTGTGCACCCTTATAAAATCAGCAAAATTTACTCAATGTTGAGTGAAAAAGAGAATGACTTATGACAACCTAAAGGTAAAATGTGGACAAATTTGACACAACGGTTGTATAATTGTCATCCTCTTTTTCACTCAAACTTTAGTAAATTTCACGGCTACTATTTTCATGAGTCTAGTAAAACCTTGTTATCAAATCCTCCATTCGTTTCGGTACCCCTTGTTTCACACACCCTGGATCAAGTGCCCCCATTTGGAGAAGGAACTTTTCTGGAAGGAGATTATTCAGGAAAAAAATGACAGATGAATTTGCCGGATCGTCATCCTTGTCACCTTCACCACTAACTTTATTATCCGATTTTTCAGTAGGTACCTTTGAAGTACAGATTACGCACAAATTGATCTTATCCTTATGTGACATTCTGTACAATTAATTTTAAAAAAATATTAGTGATATTTGCAAATATACAGCGAGAGAGAAAAATCAGGTGGTAGCAAAAGTGAGTGAGCAGTTTGCCGGCGTGAATGGCACGAAGATGAATGTGTTATGTTACGTCACTCTGTTATGTAATGAAGGGGCCGTTCATCATGGATGCAGTAGATTTTAAGCATATGACAATAAAGTATTTGAGATGTATGATTTGACATGTTTGGCGTTGCAGCATTTCGTACATATATTACGACCTTTTTTATATGGTCACCAGGTCGACGTAAATACGTCGGAATAATTCCTATCCAAATTAACCTATAAAACCGACAGGATGAAACTTTCTCAAGTTTTGCCCGTCGACCTCATCATCGGGACGCCATGACCTTTAAGGTTAATTAAGGAATTGTCCCGTAAGTCTTTTTAAAATATGGTGTCGATACACAGAACCAGAGCTAAGAAGCAGGTTCCGTCGAAAGATATCATTATCATACTAAAAGATGGATAAATGGATCGATATTACTACATACAGATACATACACTTTACATTTCACTGCTCTTTAACAATAACTATAGTTACTGTATTGCATATTGCATACATACATATGTATGTACATACATTATTTTAATACTGATTACCCAGCAATACATCATATGCATCGCACTGCATGTATGTATGTGGGACCGTTCATAAATTATGTAACGCGAGAGGGAGGAGGTGGGGTCTTGGACCCCACCTCGAATGATATCGACAAATGCTAAAGGGTGCGGTGATCTAGAAATTCGGGATGAATTTTGCGTGACATAATTTATGCATGTCCCCTTATGCACATACATAACATGACTTATGATGGATGAATGGGATGAATATGTAGGATTTGTTTGGTCGAGAAGAACCAGCTCTCATATTTATAGCCTGTATTTATAGCCCGTGAGACCATAACCTGTATCAACGACTGAATTGGACATGTTAAAGCTGGCATATGTATGTATGTTTATTAAGTGATCCATATTTACATACATAGCTAGATACTTAGGTCAAGAAATAGCACTACTCTAGTCTACACCTTGGAACCCTTAGCAACTGTGTAACCTTTAAAATGGTCGAAGACATCGGCCAGTTAGTCAAACTGGGTGAACCATACGTGCATACATACATATGTATGTATGTACATGTGTGCATATGCAAATACTAAACTGCCTAGCCTGTGTAGTTATCAAACTAAAATAAATTATTCTGCTTTTGTAATACCGTTTACCAAATGAATTTCTTGCGAATATTTCCCGTACATATTTAAATATGTGGTTAAATGCTTCACAATTTTCAAATAAAATAAGTCATGAACCTTACTGTACAAAAATATCGAGTACATAAATACATATGTACATACATACGTACACACTGACCAGGGAAGAGGGACATTGTCCCCACATTTGGTCGATGACACTATCATCTCCCCAAGTTACATATGAACCTCTTACTCCACAGTGGAGTCTCCTCTCATCCTACAATGCGAATGTCCCAAGAGGTCCCCACAGTATCCGCGAGCACTTCAGTAAATAAGCAACTTAATTGCTTGTCCAGTTATGGTGCACGCATATATTGTGTCTTACATAGATACATACACTCAAAACAAAAATTTGTCAAATCAACACCGCCGGTGTCAATATATGACTTAACCGACTTGGTTAAAATATTGAATCCGAGTTATGATGATTTTGATACCGGTAGTATAATGTTATAACAGAACGGAAAAATTTCATTACCACTCGGAATCACAATTGTAATCAAGGCGGTTAAGTCATATATTGACACTGTTTTGTTTTGGGTGTACATACATATATTTCAGTCTAAATCACGAGACATGTTCCATCTACTTCATACGCATATACATACATATGTATGTATATACCCTACTAGCACATTGCCAGTGCAGATTTTGTACCGATGTGCCCCATTTCTCGGTACCGATTGTGTAACGATTTCGTGCTGGCACAGGGAAATCGGTACCTTGCCGGCACAGTTTAGCTACAAATTTTGGGTACCGGGACTGTTCCGGCAAAACTGTACAAAAATGGTATCGGTACATATGTACGGTTCCACCTGTACCAAAACTGTGCCGGTAAGGTACCGATTTCCCTGTGCCAGCACGAAATCGTTACACAATCGGTACCGAGAAATGGGGCACATCGGCACAAAATCGGCACTGGCAACATGTACCGGAACCGCACAGGTTGTGCTGGTAGGGTATGTACCTCCCATCCCATGCTACAGTAGATAGCAGTAAGAAATAAATACGTTTCCACCAGCGAATACAGATCACTAATAGAAGGATGAAGATATGGTTATTGTTTCAGTATAGGGAAATGGGGTTTCAAATGCTGTGATTGGCTGACGGTTTTTATGGGCATCCGCCCATAAAAACAGGGCCGTGGCACAACTCAATTTTTCCCAATCTCAATTTCCCCATTACTTGGAAATCTCACTCCTTTCTTGGAACCAAAATCAGGTGTCTCCTTTACCATCATTCTTGCTGCCAAACTCGGAAAAGCTGAGTAATTAAAAGATTATTTAATATCCTACAAATTAATTTTCTGACATCCACTCAATTACATAAATCGCTTCAACTCACCACAAGTTAAGCTCTAAGCTTCAACTCTCGGTAAGTAGTAAAAGAATTACTATTTTCTTTCAACAATGAACGGTGGGGACACAAATATGGTGGTGACACGTTCATTTTTACGAGTGATTTGGATGTTAATTTATTGCGATTTATTGGTACAGGTAACTGCTAAGGACAATTTTTCATCCATTAATTTTGCGACCTCTCTGCCGTGCCCCCACCAGAAATCTGTGTCATCGCCGGCCAACCTGGTAAATAACAACTTTAACTGGATTCTGCAACAATAAGGACCAAGGAACTTGTATTTCGTAATGCACTATATTGTATTGAAGTATAGACTCATCAATTACCATTAGTTGTTGGTAACAGTAACCTGGTAACAGTGTGAAATTGTCGGAAACTTCGTTAAAGTTTTACAAGATTCAAAAATAGTTTCTCATATAATGAACGGTGAATACACATATATGTACAATCATGTATGGTGAAAACACGCTCATTGTTGGAAATTAAGTTCCACTAAATTTATTTTTGTGAATTGCAGATATAATATTTGTGCCAATTGTTACTCAATATTGTGACCTATTGCCCCTTCCTCCACCAGATCCGTGTCTCCACCGGTCAATTTATCTGATCTATCAGTGTGCGTTTATACAAAGCAAATTCAAATTATATCTTCACACCCACTCTTTCGCTACCAATGAGCAGTCGATAACTAAAATGTATTAATTTTATTACAGGTTCACCTATTTGGCCAAACAAGGGTACTTAAATCAATGTGACTTTGTCAAGACTATTAAAAAACTTTCAAAACTTCGCTTAAGGTAAATTTTATTTTGATCTTAAAAATAGTTTCTTTCCTCTAGAATTAAAAGAATAATGAACGGTGGAGACACATTAATATGGTGGAAACACGTTCATTATTGCAAGCAACTGTTACATCAATATTTCCTTGTTATTTTGTTTAATTACAGACTCATCAATTACTATGAGACCTTGTTCGTGACTCGGAAATAGTGTGAAATTCTCAGGAACGTCAGTAAAGTTTACCAGGTTCAACCATAATATTAAAATAATAGTTTATTATCTCCAAAAATTAAAAAAGCAACGAACGGTGGACACACACATGTATATGGTGGAAACACGTTCATTTTAATTACTGATTCGCCTTCATGTACTCAAATTCAGTGTGACTTTATCAAAACCTTCTTCAAAATCTTCTTAAAATAAACAATTAACGGTGGAGACACATAAATATGGTGAAAACACGTTATTTGTTTCAAGCAGGTTTCAAATTACTAATTGCTTGTTATTTTTCGCAGGAAATCCAGTTGCTCAAAACATTTATTTGAATTTAATAAACCGTCGTTTGTCACGGTCCGAAATATAAAGTGTTGCGGTACTAATTGTGATAATTCTTGAAACCAAGAAAATCGTAATTACTCCTTTCTGCCAAAGCGTCAGGTACAACTTCCGATGCAAAATAACTCATTTCTCTCATTCTTTTTTCCTCTGATAGCTAATTTTAGTTTTTTTAAAGGTTCCAGCAGTGGTGTAAAATTCTCGACATCGATAAGGAAAACGTATCACCTAAAACTGTCGTTTGCAGCAAACACTTTTAGCCACCTTCAAGAAATTTCTCAAAGAGTTTTACCGACCTCTCCACCCCATTTGTGTCTTCACCATTGTCTGTGTCTCCACCGAAAGGGGGGTGGGTTAATTTATCCTTTATATGAACAAGAAGATAAAGATTAGAAATAAGTTTCACTACAGTTTGAAGTAGAAGAACCAGAACCACATTCAACTGTTTCCATTTTCCTTATATACTCAAGGCACGAAAATTATTGCTACTATTTATAATAAAATCTTTTGCAACCGGGAAATTATTTCGATGTTTGTAAAATTAAAGTAAAATTGTATTTATGCTAAATCAATTTGTGTTGCAATAAATTTGGTTGTAAATCTGCATTACAACAACTTTCAGTTTTTAATTAATTATTCGAACTTAGAAAGTCGCAAAGATTCTCCATTCGAGATGACGAAAATCTGTACAAAAATTAAGTCACATTAAATCCTGAGCATGGTTGTAAAACTGCTCTGACATATCTTGTCGTTAAACTTACTTAATAATTGATGATGGTGGGTGGGTGTGGTAGACACCGAAGCACGAAAAACTGTTTTTTTGTTCTGGGACGTAAAATATAAAGTGTGATGAGAAGAGATGGTAAAGGGTAAAGTGAGACGGATGGTGCGCAGCGAGTGCTACGGCTTCATTTATGCGGCATCAAAAATACATGGAGAGATTTGAACTGCGAACCAGCCAATCACATCATTCCAGCCCCGTCCTATACTGAATAACTAACATTGGAACTGTTTATCTCTATAGGATACCATGATCGTTGCGTTTCCACATATGTTAACCTGACCCACAACGGCCAGAACCCAAAGCTGTAACCTTTTCCACCAATGCTAAATAAATACGTACAAATGTACCATGTATTTAACGCATCGGAAAAAGGGCCTTTTCCCTACTTACGGGAAAAAGGGATCATAAAGTATGTATTGTACACGCAAGTCCTTCACCTTTCCAAAACCATCCTTGGCTCAAAATAACACAAAGGAACCCAAACCAAGCTGCCTTTCTCTTTTTCCACCCTCATTTTTTTCAGTCCTCCTTCTCTTTGTCCTGCAGAGGCACATTTATATTCCATATTTTTACCGCAAACGAATTACTCTTATCGGAAAATGGAGCAAGATAAGCGCAACAAGAAGGGAAATGTGATCCCGAACCATTTCGTTTTCGGACCTCTCATCATCGCATCTTTATTGACGAATCTGGTCGGCCTGCAAGGTCTTTCGGCGCACAAGAACGTCGAAATGACCCCGGCACAAGGAGCGATTTACGAATGTGTCCGTCTCTGCGGTTATCTGCTGTTGATTATCTTGAACATCGTGTTTATGGGGTTCGCCGCGTTTTTGGGGTACATTGACGCCAAGAAAAATGCAGGTAGATACATATTTTTGCAATATATTCAAATCTAAAGTATGTAAATTCACTTAAGTATGACAAATCCTCACCCGAAATGGTATTTAGTATAATGCTCCACTTTTTGGGTAATGATTAAGGAGACGTTTTATCACCAATTTTAGATATTAGTGAAAAACTCATGTAAGAAAAACAGACGTGACGTCGTTACTTAAAAAAGTAGTACTTTTGGTATCTGAATAAAAGATTTTTTTAATGAAAATATTGAATTTTTAACAACTCACAAATTTAATTTAACAATTTTAACAACTATTCAATTCAGTTTATCCAGTTTCGGTTGATGATAAAAAGTCACCTTAATTATTACCCAAAAACAAATCAGTACCTCATGGGTGACCATTTGTCTCTGAGTTAATTTGAAACCAAAAATATTTTAAGTAATTTGAAATTTATTATACCGAAGGTGTTTTCTATTTAAAATTTTTATTATATTTAGCCGTGTTGTACAATTTGTGTTTTTTGCGTTCTTTATACAGATGCTAAAAAACCAACCCGTGACGGAAATAGTTTCACGACAAGTCAACTTATTGAATTAGAGAAGCGTTTCCTTTATCAAAAACAACTTTCTGCCGACGATGCGGATGACATAGCTCGACAAGTAGGACTTTCAACTGGACAGGTACATATGTAAATACATACATACGTACATATGCATGTTCATTGCCTAGTTATATACATACATAGATTTGTAATTATGGGAAAATCCATTAACTACGTCATCAAAAAAATGCAAATTTTTAGACAACACACCCATAATTTCCCTATCCTTCTCATATTAAGCTTAACGCGTAATATATGGACGTTCCCGATTTTATCCTATTGACGTTAATTAGTGGATGTTGCTAAATTACGTAGAGCTTCAAGAAGAAGTACATAGGTAGTTTAAAAAATTCCGTTACGAACCGTTGCAGGTAGAGGAATGAGCTTTCCATTACGTAAATTTTTTTTAGTCACCCAACAAATCAAATTTTCAAAAATTACGAGATTATAAATATTTACCTTACTGATTATTGTTTTTGTGATTCTTGGCGCACTTTATTTATTCTGTTCCAAGTTTATTTACTACTTCAAAATTTATTCCGGTGTTTCAAATTTAAGTGTCAGATTTTTAATTTTGTTTTGGAAACTTAAATTGTCGTTATTAACGTAGGCACTTAACGTATTTGCGGTCAGTTGCTTAATTTCCCGTAAGGTGAGACGTGGGAGGCCTCTTGCCTCCCATGTATCCCGTGCGGAAATTAATCAAAAACCAACGTCAAAATGTAAACTGGATTCGGATATTTTACGTGGCTATGGTAATACTTTACGAGAACGAGTTTGATAACTACTGCATTACAGCAGTGGGTTCAACAAATCGTATTTTGGCGTTACATAATTTTAGAACGTCCCCTTATGCATAAATACATATCTTTAGTTTAAATTATAATTCATAGGTAACAACATGGTTTAAAAATCGCCGACAAAAACTCGTACGTGACATGAAAGAGTTGACTGAGGATGTACAAGCTTGCAAACTACGCCAACCTGGAAACTGGTTATGTCCCGAAGGCCAGGACCCAAATTTTAAGAGGGATCATCACACCGAAAATAAATCTGCGCCAGCTTCGTCCTCCTCTTCAACGTCCGCACCCATACCGACGGCAAAAGGAGAAAACGGTAAAGCTCTTAATAATTATATGCATCTCAAATTTCAATACATATGTAAAACATCTCAAACGAGCATAAAAACGTAGTAGCATGCTAAATGACGCTGTATGAAAATTACATGATTTTTACCCTCTAAATAACCTGATTCTACGTCGGGAGATTAAAAATAATATAGACAGAGTGAAATTTCCCTTAACAAACCCCATATCAAAATTATCGTTAAATTTGATTTTGGACAAAATACTCACTCCAGTCAATTTCCTGTCATCAATTCTCGCGGCGATTCGATTCCCACACCAAATCTTTAGGTTTGTCTGGCCGTGTATCATAAAATGGGTCGGATCTGATCCGTACATATGTATTTATTCATAAACGACCCGATAAAAAATCCGACCTGACCCGAAGGATCGGATTAGATTTAGCGACCTTAGGACCGCTGCCAAAAATAAAATGATGACACCATTCATGAAAATAACATGTATTTTCCATTCTGTGCAGACCACGCAAAAGACGACCAGGATGTAACGGTCCATGGCACACAATCAAGAAAACAAATTTTCAGTTGTAACCTATCTGAGGAACAAGACAGATTTGACGGTTACGAAAGTATGGAAAATAAAAATTCAGAAATTCAGAATTTGGAAAACTCACCGCCCACTCCGAAAGCGCTTATTAAAACTGAAGAAGGTGAACTATTTCAAAAGAAACGTTTTTAAATTTTTGTAAAGTTATTTGTTGACGCATATCTTATTTGTACCTTATTTATCTCTCCTTAGATTTCACTTGTCGACAAATTACGGAATTAGAAAAAATTTATCACTTCGAGAGATTCCCCTCTGCCAAACACGTAGACCAGTTGGCGGAGAAATTAGGACTCACGAGTGTAGAGGTAAATATTAATTTCAGATAAGTATTTTAATCGTTTAGATTTTGCTTTAATATGTTAAATGCATAAGTATTTGGAATCGATGTGACCCTAAATAATATGCAGGGCCCTTTATTTACTGAAACTATATTTTAAACGTCTGATACTAATGACCTAGCGAATGTTTCATATTACCCTTTTGCAACGTAAATTCACTCTGAATTTTAAATTAAGCAAATTAAACTGGATTCGGATTAAGTCTTGCTCCTTATCAAGTTAACGGTACTCTTGATTTAGCATGATTTTCTAAATATCAAAAGGTGTAAAAAATGAAGATAAAATTATTAGTGTAGTCTTACTTTAACCCGACCCATCCGCTTTCGACTCGTTATTCTATATTTCTAAAATGGACCATACAAGCTTTTGACAAGTTGCGTTCCTTCGTGACTATGCACACACATAAACGCCTCCAACCATATTGACCGTTAATTAATTAGTTACGATATTAATTTTTTAAACCCCAGGTCTCAAATTGGTTTCAAGCTCGCCACCAAAAATCCATCCGAAACTTAGAAAAGTTAATCAAGGGCTACAGTTATCGCTATCCCAATCGAGTAATTTCTGTGGAAACCTCAACCAACAAAGTTGCCCAGCCAGAGCAATTTTCAGTCGAAAATTCGACCAGGACCCGAATTCGAAATACAAATGACAGCCCTAACGTACATCAAAAAACCCCAACCATTCCGCTAAAGCAAGTAATTGAAAATCTTAAGAATCAGCAGAAAAAATTTTCAGGCACCCCGCAACCGCAAAACTCTAGCGAGGATTTACAGTTCCTTACCAAAACTCCTTACATGCTTCAAAAAATATCAGTGCATCAACTCATACAGGACAGGAAGCACCGTCAGGAAAGTAGAGGTAAAATATTGAACATCATTTTAGCCGGTTCACCTGCAAATCAGCAACAAAAAGTAGGATTAGAAAGTGGTCAGGGGACGAGCCAAGAACCAATTTACGAACCTCTACAAACCCAGGAAATACTGATTACGCGTAAAAATAAGGATGACAAAAAATATCAAGATTTCCTAAATTCTGACAGTGCGAAGCCAACAGTTGTCTCCCCAGTGGCTCTCCCCAATGAACTTAGGAACGAAGATCCACTCCAGGATAGCTGGAGAGACTGTATCGACCTTGAGGAATCTCATCTTGAAGAGGAAAAGGTTTGATGTCTTGATTTTATCAAATTTTTCTTTTGTATTTTTTAAATTTTTATTTTTTGACGCAATTGCTGAGTTCAGCCAAACTTTTCGTTATAGGGTGTTCCGGAAGTAATGCAACTTTGGTCAAATGCACATATAAACTCAACGAATGAATTTTTTAAAGCGAAATTTTGGTCAGAAAGGGACAAAGGTTAAAGCTAATTAAGTTTTGCTTCCAATGGTCCGTACACCCCTTCCGCCAAATTTGGAGACGTTTTTGTTGGGCGCTCACAATTAGTGCTTCGCCACTGTTTTTGGTCACCTTTTTTGAGATTTTTGACCACATGTGTTGAAATAAGTTCAAATTTTTGACTGAAGTTTTTCGATTACAATATTGTTTCTAGGATAGGAACTAAAATTTTTCAATAGGTCTTGTATTTGGCAAATTTGGGAACGTTGTCTCCCATGTTAATTGCATTTGATCCGTTTTAAGACGGAGCGTGATACTTTGGCTTATATTTAATTTCCAGTTTTGCATAAATGGTTTTCTTGAAGGTGGGAGAGTTGTACTATGTGCAAATAAAAGCATTTTGATAATCTGAGCAGTAAATCGTCTTGTACAGGACGATCAATTTTGGTTAATTTTAATTACTTCAGGTCAAGGATTTTTCTGCCCTCCTGCTTGCTACTTTTATTTTACTCTTGACTATATTTATAAGCTTCTAGAACCTTCTAGGATTTGATGTCCAACTTCTAAGCTTTCAAATAATGTATGGTGTTCGGTGAGAACTTCAAGTACTTCAGCGAATTTCGCTCCGACATAACAAATTTCTATCTACACGGAGTTTATTACTTTCGGGGCTGCCACACGAATGTACCGACCAGATATTTTTTGCGATTAGTCGTTTTTTGCAGCTCATACCTTAGTATAACACAACAAATCGTCACTTTTGGAATTTCTTATTTTTTAAAGTGAACACAGCTCAATTTCTTGGAGCGCGTAACCACTTTTTCGAGGTAGTGGCAGACGATGGTTGCGAGTTGCTTGGTGGTATTTGACCTCATTTTGGAACGGATAGAGATATCGACTTCTGGTTTTCGGATTCTACTAGATAAATGTGTGGACTACAATATTCACCCAATTTCGAATTTGGGGGAAATTGATACCCTTGCATATATGCATTTCACCAAAGTTGCATTACTTCCGGAACACCCTCTACGTATCGCGGGTCTCTGACCCCATTACCCTCCTCGGCACATCTGAGTACCCCTCCCTCCCTCTCTCGCGTTATATAATTTATGAACGGCCCCTAAGTCTCATATCCTTCACAGGAAATGAGTTTGCTCAATATATAGCCATAAAGCTATAGCCTAAAAACTTGATGAAAAATTTAAAGTATTTTATAGAATTACTTAAGGGGAGTGAAACAACTGCCAGTGGAGGAAAAATTGCAAGAAATGCCTTTTTGGGGGTAATAAATAATTTTACGAGGTGCAACACGTTTGACCGTGTTCGCCTTAATTATTTACATTTTCAGGCATTACACTAAATATTTACTAGCGAAAATAAAAATTTTGTAGAAATTTGTGGGAATTAGTGGTTGACCCTACCCGTAAGTCGCATTGAGTAAGATAGATCAACTCAGACTCAACCAATAATTTTCACAATTTTCTTCAAAATTTTGATTTTCACATTAAAAATGTAAATAATTATGACGAATGCGGTCCAATGTGTGGCACCGCGTAATTATTATTTTGTACACCCAACAAAGGCAGTTTATCCACTTTCTTGCATTTTGGGGGCGAAAAAGTTATTTAATTTTTTTTAACTAACTAGCAGTTATTTCTCTCCCTTTAAGTCATTGTATGAAACACATTTTCCTGCTTTAGCCCTATTATTTTTTAGCAAACTCATTCCTTATGAAGGATAAATTTTATGTACATGCAATAATACAAGTTAATATTTTTGTTCGTTTTAGCAGGTTGGAGATTTAAATATGGCGGGAAACCTAACAACAACAAGCGATTCTGGCTGCCCGGCAGATTGTACTTCAGGTATTAATACGTAGTAGTACGGCGACTCGTATCAAATTCTGACTTTGTGAATACTTCACAAAATTCCTTGTGTCACAATTTGCTCCTCTTATCCTTATTCGTTTCACCCATTCATACATAACCTTGGACAGTAAATACGATAATCATGTGAACAACACTTAAAAAAGAAAACATAAAAATATCAATTGTATGTGACTTCTATTACAGTTTTTATTGTATCATCTACAGCAACCATACTGGACAAACCAACCCCAGGAGATGCCAATTCAACCTTAAAATCTGAAGAATTACCCTCATCTCCCACAAAATCTTACGTTCGCACACATCTTCACGGATTTAATACCACCCTAACCGAGGAACAATTAGAAACCTTGTGCAGCATTTATGACGCTAACCCCATTCCGAATGACTTCTTAAAGAAAGAAATCCAGGATACGACTGGTTTGGCTCTGCCGTTGGTCGAATACTGGTTCCAGTGCAGACGAAATAGCGACATCAATTTCCAAACCGTTCTGAGCCAGAGGATGAAACAATTGGTGAGTTATTCGTCGTTTATAGCGAGAATTAAAAAAGTCTGTTTTCTAGCTGATGAAAATCTGCACGGCAAAGTAATTTTGGCGTGTTCACGATCTCATTTAGTGACTTTACCAAGTCAAATTTGCAGCATACAATCAGAATTGAGCTGAATATCTGGTACAGAGGTCAACCCAGACCAATTTGGTGGCGGCGCAAATTTTGGGAATTTTTCGGCGCGGGGAGACGTTTCAATGTTTAAGGAATAGGGAATTAGCTTTATCGATGGCGGCAGCGCGTAAAATGTATCGACGTATGAAATCGGCGGCGTTAACCTCTAATCTGATATGCATACATCGGATATGAATGAAAAATGACTTTTTCCATTTATTGACCTACAGTCGCCAAACTTTCTGAGAATGTTTACGGTCACTAGTAGGTCACGTAGGTCAAAGCATATTTTGTCATATTGGTCATACTTTCAGGTTTTGGGACATATTCATATTCCCTATCATATTTCGGGCTTTTTTCGTTCATTTTATCATTTTTGGCAAAATTCTAAGATTTGCCTACCAAATTTCCAGAAAATGACAAAAAATTCAGTTTTCTCACAATGATTCATTTTGAGAAACCTGCAGAAATTTATATTCACTTTCACCTAAATTTATATTCACTATCACCCCATAACTTGATTTATTGCTAAAAATTGAGTATCACAAGAAAAAATATAAAAATTAAGCCAAAAATTTTAAAAATAAAGTCATTTTTATGGTCATATTTTGGTGATTTTTAAGGTCATTTTTCATTCATATTTTGAGGTTTTATCGGTCATTCATATCCGACGTCTGCTGATATGCAATTAAATCATCCTTTACTTTTCTCCAATGCTTCTGAACATTCACTCGTCGATTATAAAACAATGTCTAAATGCTTTAAAATTTCAAATTTGTCATTCTGTCTGTGAAAGCTTGTCCTTTTGCGAAATTAAGGGAAATAATTATCTTATCGATACACATTTTTTTCAGGGAATTGGTCAAATGGTGAATTTATCGTTCCGGATCGCGATCACCCTTCCACCCCTGAATGTCAATATTGACGGAGATCCAGTTCCAGTCGCGAGACGAGATTACTTGCGCCAGTCGCAATTGGACACTTTGCGAGCTTCATACACAACAAACTCGGCACAGCTAAGCACCGATGAGCTGACCTCTCTGACCACCCAGACCGGCTTGAGTGGACGACAGATATGGATTTGGTTTTATAACCAGGTCACACTGGATTTTAAGGAATTGGTAGAAAAGGGTGAACCTGTTATGGTAAATATAAGACAAATTCCGAAAGTTGCGTTTAAATTTGATGAAATATTGATATTCAACATTTTTTAAATTTTTATTTAGGAAGAAGCACAAGTAGTTGAAGAAGGTGAACGTACGACAGGAGTCGATCTTGAGGTTGTTAAAACAAATTAAGGAAATTTGCATTTTAAATTTAAAATTTTAGTTGGTATCAGTAATCAAGTATTTTTTAATTGGTATTTAGGAAGATGCTCAAATAGTTGAACGAGAGGAAAATATCACAGGGGATGATGATGAGGTATGTATATATACGTAATAAGTTCAAACAAGTTAAATTTCTGCCCCTTCGAATGTTACGAGATATCAGTAATTAATAATTTTTTAACATTTTTCTTCAGGAAGTTGCTCAAGGAGGAGGGGGAGGCGAAAGCACGTCAGGGTCCGATCTTGATGAGGGTTGGTGTGTCGTTAGTTCGGTTGGAGGAATGGAAAAGGAATAACTAATTAGGAACAAATTTTATAAATTCAGTACTTGCATGCATATACATATTTGTATACATGCACCTTATTTAGCTTATTCCTTGAACAATTAGTTGGCTAAATATCTGCGATTATTTACTTTCTGTTATTATCAATCAATTCTTGGTGTGGTACACGTACATAGGTTTAAACGGGAACCGGAGTTATTAGGAACAGGTAAAAACTACCGCAAATTGTTTCATTCTAAAACTCATGAATTACGCTAAATTGCTAAAAACAATGTATTAGGTTTAGTGTAAAATTAAATTTGGTTAATAAAATGACATCCTCTGTTAAATTCATAATGCCTACATACTATTCACTAAAATCCTTTAATACCTAAATTACTGATGCAATATTTTTACCTCCTGCAAAAGGCGGAAGGAAGGTGACCAGAGCGACATTGGCGTCCCAGAAATGAAATTCGTAAAAATCCTACGTGCTAAATAGCCCCCCGAGTTCATGTACAGTCTAAATAAAAATAAGTAAAATTTACTCAACGATAACTAAACAATTGTTTAGTGTGATATGATTTTCGGCTGCAATCTATATCGATACTTGAAAACAAAATAAGTTATAATATGGTACAATGTTTGGAAAATTAAATGAGCGGTATAATTACTATTTGTTTATTCATTTGGCAAATATAAACATGTTACAAATTTAAGAGGCATTACGTTACGACGCTCCTCCTGATCCAATCAATCTCAAAAGTACAAATCATATAATAAATTTTTGAATTTTGTTTTTCCTACGAGGGTATTTATAATTCTTTCGTATCGTAGAATAAGTCACGACGGTTACGAGATTTTCTGATCGTTGTCAAGAATCTTGACTCAAGATTTAGATTTGATACTCGACCTCTTGTTTTTTTATTCCTATGCTAATAATTAATGATGAATATCCTCATTATTTACGTAGAATTTTCAAGAATGTTTCTCCTCCTGCTTCTAATATTCCTAATGGTCCTCGAAATAGATTCCTTTAAAGGGGCGATGTCTTCGCCTGCCTGAGAAAACATGGAGGAATGCATGGCGACAATTTCAGCCGTTGGTATAGTCGAATTTGCGGCAGTGTCCCTTATTTTATTCCAGGCGAGCTGTACCAGACAGAATTTGGCGTCCGGGACGTGATTATGAGTCCCAAGTTCGCCCATAACTTCGGGATTGGTGTCACTATCTGTGGTATGGAGGCGTGCGGGACATCCATGTTGACGGTGGTGAGTACACCGCCATATCTTTTTGTGGGCTCCGAGCTTATTAAAATTGAACAGGTATCCGCCTTTGGTGATCATGGGACGATTTTTAGACGATGTCAAAGTGACGACAGGATCAGATGCCAAATTCTGCAACATACATTTAAAAAGTAAAACGAGTTGAGTGCGGACTAACCAAATTCATGTCATAATGCTTGATTTTTTTCCATTGAAATAAATATGGCTCAATTCACCAAATTGTACGAGGTATTTTTTGCACCATTTTCCACATTTCTCGTATTGTAATAAATTCACGGGGCAAGAAATTCAAGAGATACATACGAGCCATCTATCTGTTAACTCTGGTTATTACACGTAATTATACGGACTATCGGCTAGCTGGGGTTTATTTCTTGCAGTTCTTGCACTTCTGTAAGGTATTATGTCCACAAAGAAAACAATCCTACGCAGAAATTTCATACAGGTATTTTTTCACAGCGCATAATTATGCACCGGCATATAGAGATCAGCCACACCCCTTAAGCCACCCTAGGAAATAAGCCATTTCTTGAATAAGCTATTTTAATCACCAAAATTATCATATACATTAGTAAAACTGGCTTTTCACTATGGTTAAGGGGCGGGTGCCGAAAGCATGTGATCGACGGGGCGTTTAGGACACAGGAGGGAAGCCTAGCAGTCAAAATTTCCCCAAAATCGATCGCGTGATTTATGTACGGTCCCTTTGTCTTCTTGCTTACCTACCACACAAGCTGGAAATATTCAGTCGTCAGCGACTGAGTTTCACTATCGTCGATGGGGAATAGTTCGCGAGCCCGACCCACTTGCCCGGATCGACCTTATCGTTCGCTTCAGATGCTGCCTAAGTGGAAGAGTACCCTTTGTTTCGGCTGAAGCTTGACTCACATTTCGGGCTATTATTGTTGCTGGGTTATCGCTTGTCGCTTTGGCATCTTTTCTTATTTTGGTGCGGATTTCGCGAACTTCGCAGGAAATAGGATTCGGGCTATGGTTGTGAGATCCAAGTTCTTTCAAGAGTGTGGGGCTTGAAACGTTAAGTGATGTGTGAAGCCGGGCATTACACTTGTCACGTCGTAGTCGTTCACACACCCAGATTGCTTTGTCGACCCCAGATTTTCGAAAATTAAACGAATATCCGTCATGAAGGACGATCGGTTTCCCTTTGTTAGATTCCACCACAGTCAATGTACTTCCCGTACTGAATAACTTAAATAAACAAGCAACAAAATAACACAAGTTAATGTATGGGCTATAAACTATTGGTATTAATCTTAAAATTTAATTTATATTGTTGTACTAAGGCAATATGCATTCCTGGTTTCTAAATTCGTTTATTATTCGTCCAAAATTTACACTGCAGAAAATTCTCTAGACTTATTTTCTAATGTGGTTTATAAAGAGTGTCTTAAGGGGTGGGAATTTTTCCTAAATTGGCTTATTTCCTAGTGGAGGAGTGGGGTTTGGTTAATGATTCATGGCTTATGGGACGTACATAAATTAAGTAATTCGAGTGACGGAAAGGGTCCAAGACTGTAATTATATCTTGGCTATGTTACACATGCCAAATGCGGATGAGGGGATCGGTTTAGAAAATCCCGATTTTTACGTTACGTAATTTATGGACGGCCGATTATGTACAAAGTTTGCATTGCGACTTACACTACTTTCATCTCCAACACAATTGTTGGACGATGACGACGCCGACGGATGTAAGGAATCAATTTGAAAACTTTCGGTTTGAGGAAATATTACGAAATCGGGGTCATCATCTGTCTGCATTTCTTCGAAAGTGTCGACCTCCTCCTCAGTCTTGATAACTGTCTCATCTGAAGTAATATTAGGATTTGTTACTTCTCCCGGTGAAAGCGTGAATGGAAGAGGAGATCGTCGACCTAGAAAATACAGAAATTTAGACGTGTTGTTTTATGGCATTTTGAACCAAGTTATGTAAAGTACCTCGCCGCCGAGATTTAGAAGATTTTGCGTTAACTTTTTCACATCCATTTTCCAGTGAAACGACTGAAGGTAAATCTGTGGATTGATGAAAGTTTGTATTTTAAGGGTTTGTTAATAATTACTGAGTAAAAAAAGGTTGCTGTCATTAAATAATTATGCAATTCTTGGAGCCAGTAGTAATTTTGTAAAATTTGTAAAATAAATTTTGAAGCTTTTACGAAAGACGACCATGATTTAACACACATTTGTAAGCTAACTTTCCTTTAAAATACTAGTAAAAGTTGGTTAGTTATGGATTTACGATGTTACCAAATACTAGTTACTAAATACGTCAATAAATATATTTTGTATCAATATGTATAATTAATTAATTTTGAAAAAATCAAAATATTTGTGAAACAAACTTGAGCTTACCAAAATTTACAACTTCACAAAAGTGTGTCCATTTTGCTAATTTTGAGACGATATTTTCCAAATAGTCCACTCTGGCAAGGAGCCCTTCCATGGCAAATTCGTGGCTTATTTAGAAATTGATTTTACTGATCAAAGTATTTAATATTTCTTAAGAAATCAACACATCAAATTCCAATGTTCAATGATTGTGGAACATGTGTGAATAATAATAATAAACTTTTAACTCGCTCCACTTTCACTCGTCTCAGAAACAACTCGGACCGGGTATACCTGTAATATGTACAGAGCCAAGTCACAAAATGCATGTACGTAGGTGTTTTATTATTGATTTTCAAAAGGTATGTTCCGCACTATTTGTGACCAAACTTATGATGAAATAACAAACTTCAAATACATTTAGGTAGCTATGATTTTTTTCAGTTCTGTAGGTTAACATGAACACTAGCAATAAATCAGCAAACTTTACCTCGACGGAAAAAATGTCAGATTTGCAAATTAAATATCGTAGTGTGATTTAAATTTTAAAGCTAGAGGAGCAATCCGTGTCGCAGATTTATGATCGAATGCTTAAAATTTACGACGAAAACTGCTCAACACAAAACACAAATTCAATTCGGTCAATAATTTCAAATGATGGCGAAAAGAGGTCTCGGACAAAAAGCTGCTAGAACGCCCAAAATCTGTTTCTCCCACAGAAAGGCTCCGGAAACTAGAGGAACCAATAATGAGAGATCCGCGATTGAAACTGTCCTATTTAGCAGATGAGATGGGTGTTCCGAAACCAACAATTTGTTCCATGTTGACTGAAGACTTCGGTATGAACATGGCTTCCGCCCGTTGGGTACAAAAATTGCTTCTGCCATCTCAAATACAAGATCGAGTTGACCTTTGCAATGCAAATTTTAACCTATTAAATGAAACCTGGAACCTGATTCATATTTTAATAGTTGGATATGATACTTGGGTTTACTATTATGACCCGGAGACCAAATAATAATTCATACAATGGAAGCACGGGGGGTCGCCCCAGCCCATGAAAGCAAAAGTGCAAAAACCTGCCAAAAAATTGATGATTCCCATTTTCAAGGATACCAAAGGTCCCCTCCTTATAACATTTATTGGTCAAAATACTATGATAAATGGGGCAGCCTATGCAGGAATCCAGAAGGAGCTGTGTGCTGTGGTTGAAGAAAAACGTGGGGTCAAAAAAAAGAGTTGGTGCATTTTTAGCACGCCAAAGCCCCACCGCATACCTGGCATTTTGCGAGGGCTGCTGCAGACGGAAATCGCTTCACCTAGATAAACCACCTCCTGTACAGTCCAGACATGACCCTTGGTGATTATTATTCGTTTCGAAACTTCAAGAAAGACATCAGGGGGAAACGGTTTTCTGATGATAATGAAATCAAGTCGTAAATTTTGGCATATTTTCGAGGTAAATTTTGATGAGCTATTGCTAGTGTTAATGTTAGCCTACAGAACTGAAAAAAATCACAGCATCCTACATGGATTTGAAGTTTGTTATTTCATCAAAAGTTTGGTCAGAAACAGTGCGGAACATACCTTTTGAAAATCAATAATAAAACACCCACGTACATATTTACCAGTGTAATGGATTTGGTTTCTAATAAGGGACACTCACGACCGGTCGTCTGAGTTCAGGGTACCCACTATGTTTTTTAGAATCTACTGGGACCCAAGATGAAGGATTCATTCAAATTTCCGTGTAAAACTCATATTTGGCGTCGTGCCGTGGCGCCAAATTGGCCAAATTTGAATGTTTTTATTTTTGAAACCGCCATAACTTTTGAAATCCTGGACGGATTTTCAAAATTTTTGGCAAAAATAATGACAAGGAGTTGAACTTTCTTATCCCATGAAATCTTCCCCAAAATTATCGCATTTAACTTTTCGCAAAATTTCATAATTTTCTTAGAATGTGGGTTCGTCGAAAAAATGCTAAAAATATTTCAAAAATTAGAAATTTTTTATTTGCATTTTTCTCTCAAAAATTTCGACTTTTCTGATCATTTTAAGCATAAAATTTTGAGAATCCGACATAAACTGCAAAAGTTATGAGGGTTTGAAATTGGTCGAAAATGCATATTTTTAAGTTTGGCTCCACGGCATGGCGCCAAATATGAGTTTTACACGGAAATACGAATCCATCCTTGATCTAGGGTCCTAGCAGATTCTAAAAAACATAGTGGGTAGTTGGGTACCCTGGACTCAAACGACAGGTCGTGAGTGTCCCTTGTAAGTTCATTTTTATTGTTTTATGTTTTCGAATTGCGAAATTTTAATAAAAGTTACCAATTGGCTACATATGCACAAAATTGCACATGACAAATAATCAAATACCAATACCAAACTTACCATACAAATTACATAGATTTACCATAGATTACTACATAGATTGTACGTCTGGAGTTAACGATTCAATTTTTAAGCAATCGTTGGAACAAAATAAAGACTTCTTAGGAGGGGAGCTTCACCACCTGCCCTTCACAGATCTCGATGCCCTTTGGATATGTGGTAGGGTCCCATGAGTGTACTAAAACCCTGAAGTGGTTTGACTCCATGGCCACATTTGCGCCCGCCACACCCACTCAAAGGTGCCAAAAACACGAAAAAAAAACCTGTTTTCATGTACTTTAAATGTCACCAAAAATCCAATTTTGCTCGGATTTTGATAAAAATTTACATTTTTGTGATCCCAGATACTTGTGTGATCATATCTAGTAGATATCCCAAATTTTTTGAATTTTTGAATTTTTTCGAATAGTTCATCAGCTCGAAAATTTCGAAAATTTCAAAAAAGTTGAGATTGCTATTGAATATTATAAGGCAAGTATCTGGGATCACAAAAATGCAAATTTTATCAAAATCCACGTAAAATTGGATTTTTGGTGGATTTTTGAAGTTGGTAACTTTTGTGGTTTTCATCCCTTTGAGTGGGTGTGGCGGGCGCAAATGTGGCCATGGAGTCAAACCACTTCAGGGTTTTAGTACACTCATAGGACCCTACCACATATCCAAAGGGCATCGAGATCTGTGAAGGGCAGGTGGTGACGCTCTCCTTAGTTACACTTTTAAAAATACATATTTTTTTATATTTTTGCATTTTTTGCAAGTTTCAAAAAATTTATGCATTATTACCTATTTTCATTATTTTCATTATTTTATTATCACTTTACACGATTCTCTCATGCATGTACGTACACATGTGTGTTTTACATATACAAAATTTATGTCATGCAACATTTCATTATAACCTTTATAATGTTATTTAACATACATATATAATGACCGCACACAATTTCTTAAATGACATATTTTATCTAAATAGATCTGCATATTTGTGTACATACGTACGTATATAAATTACATAATGTAATGATAAAAAATTATATACCAATTAAGGTATAATAAGATAATTAAATAAATTACTCTGCATAACAATTATTTACGATTAATAAATATAATTGACAGATACTTTTGCAAATAGACCCAGTTTAATTGTGTTCATTAAATCATAAAAATATATACATATCTGGTAGAAGTATGTAGTTGAAGGAGAATGAAACAAAGACATTTCAGATGTATCTATGTCTTTGATATGCATCTACATATGTATACACTCAAAATAAGGTGGTAATGAATCATTACAATGCGGAATGACTATGTGTCTCTACCACGTCAGTAACGATTTGTCGCAGGAACGGTAATAATAAGTTCAGGGAAATTCAAATTAATTACCAAATATTAAAGAAGTGAATACCATTAAGTATTAAATTTTAATTTCCCTGAATTTATTATTACCGTTCCTGCGATAAATCATAACCGACGTTGTAGAGATACATAGTCATTCCGCCTTGTAATGATTCATTACCACCTTATTTTGAGTGTAGATAACGGATATGCAAAAGAAGTACGGCAGGGACTTCTGAAGGCGAATGCGATTCAAATTTTTTCCGAATCTAACAATGTTGAATATAAGTTAACCTGACCTCAAATCTCACCTTGGACGTTTGTCACACCTCATCCCCACTGACTCAGATCGCCCCAAACCGTCCAGCATCACAACAAGTCGTCTCATATTTTACAATTTTTTATTTTATTTATGACTATTTCGTCACAAACCTACACATTTCTTCCTCACTACTACATAAGTAAGTTCATTCTGCCGCTTCTTCTTTAACGTTCCTTGTCTTACAAGGGAACATACCGAGGTGTCCAACGAGTTAAGGGTCGACACCTATACCAAAATGACCACAACACATGACTTATTAAACAAACTGAAGGAATTTCCGTGTAAAATTCACTTTTCGTCAAGTTGTGACGATATTTGTGACGAGCGCATGACCATCGGGTTGTCAGCGGGAGAGGTCGGCCGCTGAACGATCAGGTCGACCACAGAGAAGTGTCGTCGTCTTCACGTCGTCTTCAGAGATTTCAAGTTCTTTCAAATTTTGAAAACATCTTGAAATTTTGAAAAATATCAAAAATTTCTTCAAAATTTCAAAATTTTCTCAAAATTTTTTCAAACTTTAAAGATGTTTTCAAAATTTGAAAGAATTTGAAATCTCTGAAGACGACGTGAAGACGACGACACTTCTCTGTGGTCGACCTGATCGTTCAGCGGCAGACCTGTCCCGCTGACAACCCGATGGTCATGCGCTCGTCACAAATATCGTCACAACTTGACGAAAAGTGAATTTTACACGGAAATTCCTTCAGTTTGTTTAATAGGTCATGTATTGTGGTCATTTTGGTATAGGTGTCGACCCTTAACTCGTTGGACACCTCGGTATGTTCCCTTGTTAGCGCAAAATTTGTTAGAGGAAATAGTTGCCGTAACCAATTCCTTTGAATTAATTATCACGAATTATCACAAATCTGGTTTCATTGAGTCAATGTTTTGCCATTCAAATTTTATTTTTTGTCAAATAATTTACCGCATGCACATATCGGCTCATCTTTCACACTTCGATCAAATTGCCATGATGGAAATGTAAAATTTAAAAATTTAAATGCGACAATTAAAAGGGAAGGAAAAGACCAAGACCTAAAAAAGGTAAAAAGAGACTTCTCCAGAAGTGAACTTTGGCGGCGAGCTCCCCTTGTTATAGTAAAAAAAAAAGAATTCCCATCTGAATTATTAATTTACAGTAAAATTTACATGGCTGCGAACGAACTTAAGGATGAACTGAGCGAACGAATGTAAATATGTACGAACTTATGAACCAACTACATATGTCATACAATAAATATGTAGTACGGGTAGTGGAATATTCTCCGTTTTTGTAAGCAAATATGGGGAAACAGCACTATAAACTGGGAGAGGAAATTGAGGCCCTCGAAGAAGCACCAAGTGCTCCTCGGGCACTAAATTGTTGAAA